AAATAACTTTCTACCAACATTCTTATCTGTTCCATACAACCTCGAGTGGTAGTGGATTGATCAGTCAGCCTTATAGTAGTCAAAATTGATGGAAGCTAATTCATGAAACAACATTGTAACTTATTAAAGTTTTAGATTTCTTATTAGCTTTTACACGATTACAAGAAAATAAGAAGACAATTTTCGTACTTAGAACTCAAGAACAGATACATCCACAAAGAGTTACCATAATTCAAATTCTTATTTATTGGAATATTATTGGAATAATCACAGCTATTTACTATGCTATTTACCATACTTTTTCTGTTTTACAAAAAAAAAATCAAATTTTCATAAGCTAATATGATTTTTTTGTCGTGAAAGCTATGTGTACTAAATTTAGTGTATGCTAAACTCAGTAAATCTTCCTGTGACTGTTTGCACAAGTGAGACTTTTACCTTGTAATCATGTAAAAATAAATAGCTTTCTAGGCTTGAGTGAAAGAGTAATTACTTTTTGGTCGTTATACAAAATCTATTATTAGTCTAAAAGAAATGTTGTAGCTTACAGCTTCATTACGAAAACATGAACCTTCTTGGTAACAAAATTCNAATATAGGCTTTTGATCCAGTGACAATAATTCGTCTAATACATGATATAGAATAGAAAATAAATCGAATTATAGGTAGGATATGTAGGACGCAGCTTTGCCTTTGAGTTGACTCATTAATTTACGAATTATTTTAATTGTTTTTATGAATGTAACACAAATTTTTTTACCTTAATAATTATTTACTATACGTGGAGTTATTTTTGGCTTATCTGGCTTCCCTATCGAGATACGACTGTTTTTCTAATTTTGAAAGGTTAGGCTCTAACAATTGTTTGAAAACCTGTCAACATCATTATTAATGTTCCCTACATTCTATACTAAATATGGAAAATATTAGTGGACCATTTTTTAACTCTTAACTTTGAATCGGAGGGACCTAAAAAGTGTCAACATAGCGGAAATTTTTAGTTTCCGGAATATTAAAGAATTAATTGGATCTACAATACAATCGTACTATATAATTAATAACTGTGATAAGTGTTTTTTGCAATTCAAAGCTAGCAAACCATAAAAAAGATCGTTACCCTGGTTCCCAAACAAAAAATGAGTTTTTGTAATCTTGTATGAGCTTCTCGTAGTCTAACCTGCACGTATAATATTGAGTGTATGCAAAAGTCAGTTATTTCTCCTGTTACTGCCTGCATAAGGCAAAGTTTTATCATGTGAGCAATAAATAAATAAATGGCTCCCTAGGCTTAAGTAGAAGAGGACTCCTTTTTTGTCCAAATACAAAATTAATTATCAATCCAAGATATTTGTTATAGCTTGCAGGTTCTTTGAAAAAAAAATTGCCTAAGTCAGTGGTAATAATCCAACAGAATTACTTTTTACTAATAGTCTTGTTGGTCTTATATAATCTTTAGCAGTGGATTATTTGTACAGCTTCATAGAAATTACAACTTTTATACGAAAGTTGTAAAACAACATACTGTTTGATAGAAATTTTTGTTTAATATATTTTCTAATACTAATTAAGGAAAATATTAGTCGACCATTTTAAAAATTTTAACGTTAAAACGAAGAGGTCTACAACGCGTTCACATAGCGGAAGTTTTTAGTTTCCAGAATTTTATTTAATCAATTGGGGCTATACAACATAATAGATAACAGTATTTAGTGTTGAAATTTTAAAGCAGGGACACCAAAAAACAAGTTATCAAATCTGTTATGAATAGAAAAAAAAGCTTTTATGAGAGAGTATGATCTTCCCGTAGACCGAGCTATAAATACTATATTTAGTTTATAAAAGAGTCAGTTGATTCTTCTGTTACCGTCAAAACAAGTCAGAGTTTTATCTTATAAGCAATATTTTCTAAATGAATGGCTTTCTAGGCTTAAGTAAAAAGAAATTACACTTTCATTGTTATACAAGTCCATAAGAATCGTAATAGCATCCCGGTTCTTTAAGAAGAAAATTGACGTAGTCAGTGCTGATAATCGAACAAAATTACTTATTACAAATAGTCTTGATGGTTTGTCTAACCTCTACCGCTATAGTGGTAGATTATACGTACAGCTTAATATAAATTGCAACTTGTTATAGAATAGTTGTAAAACAACATGGTACCTAATATAAATTTTTGATTTATTATTTGCTATTACAAAATAGGGAGAAAATTATTGGACGATATCAAAATTTTTAAATTTGAAACGGAGGGACCTATAAAGTGTCAGCGTAGTAGAAATTTTTCGTTTCCAGATTATCATTTAATTATTTAGAGCAATACGACATAGTAGAAAATTGTGATTAGAGTTCTTGAAAATCTAAAGTAGACAAACCAAAAAACAAATAATAAATTCAGTCGTTAACAAACAATAAGCTCTTATAAACCAGTATAAAATTCTCGTAGTTCGAGCTATACCTACTATTTATATACTTGGTGTATGCAAAAGTCAGTTGATTTTTCTGTTACTCTCTGCACACGTGAGAGTTTCATCTTGTCAGCAATATAAAAGTAAATGTTATCCTAGGCTTAAGTGAAAAAGCAATACATTTTTGTTAATATACATAACTGTTATTAGCTTACAAGAATCGTAATAGCTTAGAAGATTAAAAAAAAAAAGTTATCTTAGTCAGGGTTGTTTATCAAACCAATTTACTTTTTACTTACAGTCTTCTCGGTTTAACATATACTCTAGTGGTGGACTATCCGTACAGTTTTATAAGAATCACAACTTGTTAAAGCAAAGTTATAGAACAACATGGTAACTAATAGAAAGTTTTAGTTTATCATTTGTTATCACAAAATGGGAATAATACTATCAAACAAGTTAACGATTTTTACTTTTCAAACGGAGAGACCTACAAAGTGCCGACAAAGCAGAAATTCTAAATTTTCGAAGCATCAATTGATTAATTAGAGCTCTACAACATAAAAGGTAATTGTTATGAGTCTTTTTCAATATTTAAAGAAGGCAAACCATAAAAAAAATTTTTACTGTGGTTACCAACAAATAATGAGCTTTTGTAAGCTAATATGATCTTCTTGTAGTCCGAGCTATACGTACAATATTGAGTGTACTCAAAAATCGATTCAATTTCCTTTTACTGTCTGCATAAGTCAGAGCTTAATCTTGTAAGAAATACATAAATAAATAGATTTCTATTGGCTGAAGTGAAAAAAACTACATTTTCGTTGTTATACATAATCTATTATCTGTCTAAAGGAATTGTAATAGCTTATAAGTTTATGAAAAATAAATAAAATTATTCAGTGCTAATAATCAAACGAATTGACTTTAAACCGATATTTTGTTTTGTTTTGTATAACCTTTAGTGGTGGATAAACTGTACGGCCTCATAAAAGTCACAACTTTTCGGAGCAAAACTATAAGACACCATTGTGAACTTATGAAAATCTTTTATTGAATATTTGCTGTTACTAAATAAGAAAAAAAATAGTCACTATTTTAAAACTCTGACGTCTAAAAGAAGAGACCTACAAAGTGTCAACATAGCAAAAATTTTCAGTTCCCGAAATATTATTCAATCAATCGGGGCCTAACAACATGATAGATAATCCTGATTAGTGTTCAAAAAAATTTTAAAACAGGCACACCAAAAAACAAATTGTCAATTCTGTTATAAACAGAAAAAAGCTTTTATGAGCAACTATGATCTTATTGCAGACCAAGATATACGTACTGTATTTAGCGAATGCTAAAGTCAGTTTATTTTTCTGCTACTGTCTGCACAATTTAGAGTTTTATTTTGTAAGCAATGTATCAATTAATGGCTTGCTAAGCTCAAGTAAAAAGAAATTACTTGTTAGTTGTTATATAAAATCTAATAACAGTCTAATAGGATTGTAATTGCTAACAAAAACTCAAATGTTATGAAACTAGATACATTAGAAACTAAAAAAATTGAATTACACCTTATTTTGATAGGTCTTCAACAATCAGATATTAAAATAGTAAAAATTTCAAGATTATTTCGTATTCGAGCAGGCGCGTGCATAGTATGAATGTACTTTAATATGCTACTTATGTTATACTTGATTTGCAATTTTACTTATTGTATTTTTTCTATGATATGTTATGTATTAATACATATACGAATTGTTAAATTTGTAATATAGAACAGATCTGAAATTTTCACTATGATGCCCCAAAAAAGGTGGTTTTTTTTCAGTTACGCAGGATGACAATTCTTTACATTTAAAATTACTATTTGTGCATTTGATGAGACATCATATATTTATGTTTAATTCTTGTTGGAATCTTCGTATCTGACAAATGAAAATTTTTTTTCACTTTGGCTACCATAGAAGTAAAATAAACTACTCTGTCTGATACAGATTGAGAAAAACAATGAACATAAAACTATTTTTCATTATAAAGTTGCCACTCGTGCCTAATTAATTTCACTTATCTTTAAATTGATAGTAATAATATAGGCTTTTGATCCAGTGACAATAATTCGTCTAATACATGATATAGAATAGAAAATAAATCGAATTATAGGTAGGATATGTAGGACGCAGCTTTGCCTTTGAGTTGACTCATTAATTTACGAATTATTTTAATTGTTTTTATGAATGTAACACAAATTTTTTTACCTTAATAATTATTTACTATACGTGGAGTTATTTTTGGCTTATCTGGCTTCCCTATCGAGATACGACTGTTTTTCTAATTTTGAAAGGTTAGGCTCTAACAATTGTTTGAAAACCTGTCAACATCATTATTAATGTTCCCTACATTCTATACTAAAAAAAAAATTTATTTTAACTTTTTCTCATTAAGATACTGTCAAAAAACGTAAAAATTTAGGTTAGTGTGCTCTTCAATTTCTGACTATTCGAAAAAATTTATTAAAGAAACTGTATTAAGCTTAATGTAAAAAATGAAATTAAATGCGCAAGGGCATTTAAAATTTTGACTGTGGCATTTGGCGAGTCTACTATGAGCACAACACAAGTTCAATTGTGGTATAACCGGTTTAAGGAAGGCCGAGGAGGTGTCAATGACGATGTTCGTCCTGGTAGCCCGAGAACGTCAACAACCGATGAAAACATTGAAGCAGTGAAGATAATGATTTTGAATAATGGTTGAATTACTATCAGAGAGGTTGTTGATGATGTTGGCATATTATTCGGCTTATGCCAAGCAGTTTTTTTTATGTTTTAGGCATGAAACGTGCGGCAGCGAAGATTGTTCTTAAATTGCTAAATTTTGAGCAAAAACAACATCGCATTGACATCGCTCAGAAGCTGTTGAACAACGTCAATGATGATCCAGATTTCCTCAAAAAAGTCATAACTGGTGACAAATCATGGGTGTATGGCTATGACATTGAAACCAAAGCCCCATCATCTCAATGGAAGCACCCAGAAGAGCTAAGACCGAGAAAAAAACGTTAAGTTCAGTCAAATGTGAAGGTTTTGCTCACTGCTTTCTTCAAATGCAATGGCGTGGTACATTATGAATTCTTGCCACAAGGTCGTACGGTCAATAAGCAATACTACCTTGAAGTTATGCACCGTTTGCGCAAAGCAATTCGTCAGAAACGCACAGAACTGTGGAAAAAAAAATCATGGATTTTTCACCATCATAACACTCCAATTCACACATTGACGCTTGTGCGTGAGTTTTTGGCCAAAAACAAAACCAATATCAAGCCTCAACCACCGTATTTACCAGACTTGGCCCCTGCTGACTTTTTCCTCTTTCCAAAGCTGAAGACACCGATGAAAGAAAAGTGTTTTACTACGTTTCAGAAATGTTTCGGGGATTGCAAAAAAACGCCAACATAAGTGTATTATATCCAAGGGGGATTACTTTGAAGGAGGCAAGATAGTTATTATTAAATAAATGAATACTTTTTGAAAAATTAAAAATAACGGATACTTTTCATTTTTTTATTTGTTTATTTTTTGTTTTTGTTTGATGGAGCGGGAAGGGGAAAATCTTCATAGACACCCCAGCTAATGCTGTGGTAGTGTCGGATTCACCCGGTGTACCTACCGACTAAAAACAAACCTCCCAGCATGGGACAGGTCCGTGAGGACCACTCCCCTAGAAGACAAAAGGGCATAGGAGAAGAAAGAAGATGGAAAATAACGGAGAATTTCGGAGGCCGACTCGCTCTCGAAAGGATGAGAGGAGGGGCACTTACGCATCTGGGCGAAGCTCGTTATCAGACCTCGTATAGATACGTTACGATTTTCACTATGAAGTAGTAGTATAGAGTACTATTGAGAAAGGCTATACTATTATGTAAATAGCGTAAGTACGGTGCCTTGTTGTGCACATACAAAACGAAGGAAAAGAGAGGAAGAGAGACAGACTGACAGATTATCTGCGCTACAGTCAGCGCTGGCTGGTACCTACACACACACACACATACACACACACACACAGAACGAGAGAGAGAGAGAGGTGTGTGTGTGTACAACGTTTAATACGTGCACGGGACGGCAGCGGTCGCTCACTCGCTCAACAGTTAACAAAGTTATTTCACCATATGGGATGCGCCTAAGAAAATTTTACTTAAATTAGATTAAACGAAATTACTTTTTACTTATAGCCTTGTCAGTTTCATATAACCTATGGTAAAAGATTATCCGTAAAGCTTTAAGAAGGTTACAATTTGTTACAGCAGAGTTATATAACAACATGGTAACTTTCAAACATTTTTATGTTATTATTTGCTATCACAAAATCAAAATAATATTAGTAAATGACTTCGAAACTTTTACCTATAAAATGAAGAGTCCAAAAAAGTGTCAACATAAAAGAAATTTTTAGTTTCCAAAACATAAATCAGAGCTATACAACTTTATAGAATATAGTAATTAGTGTTCTTCGAAAAAAGCACACTTGCGAACAAATAATAGTTTTGAGTTATAAGCAAAAAACAAGCGTTCATGAGCCAGTATGATCTCCTCGTAGTCGAAACTATACGTTCTATATTTAGTGCAAAAAAAGTGAGGTAATTTTCCTGATACTCTCTGTACAAGTCTAAGTTCTATCTTAAGTAAAAATAATAATATAATAATTTTAGTTATAAACAGAATACAAGCTTATAGAAGCTTGTTAGAACTTCTCGAAGTCCGAGCTATACATACTTTATTGAGTATATGCGAAAGTCAACTAAATTTCCTGTTACTGTCTGCACAAGTCAGAGATCTATCTTGTGAGAAATATATAAATAAATCGCCTCCTAGGCTTAAGTTGTAAGAAGATACTCTTTTGTTGTTATAAAATAATTTTTTATCAGATTAAATCAAATGGAATAGCTCACAGGCTCTTAAAAAAAAAAAAAATTGAATAAGTCAGTGATAATAATCATACAAAATTACTCTTTACAAAAAATCTTGTTGTTTTTAACAAGCCCTTCAGCTGGACAAGCCTTGCAGCCTCATAAGGGTCACAACTTTTCTGAGCATATCTATGAAACTACATTAGAACTTATGAAAAATTAAATAAAATATTTGTTATTACTACATAAGCAATATATAAGTGCACGTTTTCAAAACTCTTACCATTAAAACAAAGAAATCTACAATTTGTGAGCATATCGAAAACTTTCAGTTTCCGAAACATCATTAAATTAATCAGAGTTATATAACATGATGGATGATTGTGATAAATTTTCTCCAAAATTCATATCAGACACACCAACAACCAAATAATAGGTTTAGTTATAAGCAGAAGATAAGCTTCGACAAGCTAGTATGATTTTCTTGTAGTCAAAGCTATACGTACTACATTTAGTGTATGCAAAAGTCAGGTAACTTTCCTTTTACCGTCTGCCCATATCACAGTTTTATCTTGTTAGCCATAATATAAAAACGAATCTCTTTTTAGGATTGGGTAAAAATTAATCTTTTTTTCGATAATATGCATAATTTACTATCAGTCAGAAATAATTCAAATAGCTTACAGTTTTGTCAGAAAAGAAGAAATTTACTTATTGCAAGTCAGTGCTAATAATTAAACAATCATACATTGACTAATAGTCTTGTTACTTTTATCAAACCCTTAATAGTGGATTATCTGTACAGCTTTATGAAAATCACAAATTATTATAGCAAAGTTATAGAATGACATCGAAAGTTATAAGAATACTTTATTCATTACTTGCTGCTATGAAATAAGGAAAAAGTTAGTAAACAATTTTATTACCTTTACCTTTAAAATGGATAGGCCAACAAAGTGTAAACAGAGCGGGAACTTTAAGTTTCTGGAATATCATTCATCCAATTACTGATGTAGAACATGATTGATTGTTGTGATAAGCGTTTTTTAAAATTCAAAGCACGTACAACAAAAAAACAAATAATCAATTTTGTTATTAACAAAAAATAAGATTTTATGAGCTTTAATGATCTTCTTATAGTCTAAGCTATACGTTATATACTTATTGTATGCAAAAAACGGTTAATTTTTAGTCTGCACAAGTCAGAGTTTCATCATGTTACAAATATATAAATAAGTGGATTTCAAGGCTTTAGTGAAACAGAACTCCTTTTTTTGTTAATGTACATAATCTATTATCAGTCTTCAATAATTAAAATAGCTTATAGGTTCTTTAAAAAAAAACGGACCAAGTCAGTGCTAACAAAATCGAATAAATTTACTTCTTACTAATAGGCTCGCTGGTTTCATATAACTACCAGTGACAGATCATCCGTACAGGTCTATGAAAATCACAATTTTTTACAGCAAAGTTATAAAAGAACATGGTAACTTATAGAAAATTTCGGTTTATCATCTGCTATCAAGGGAGTAGAATAATATTAGTATATAAATGATTTCAAAACCTTAATTTTCAAACGAAAAGACTTAAAAAGTGTCAACATAGCAGACATTTCTAGTTCTTAGAATATTATCGAATTAACTTGAGCTGTACAACACGATAGATAATAATAACAAGAATTTTTTTTAATTCAAAACAGGCACACCAAAAAACCAACTATGAATTTTGTTATAAATAGGATACAAGCTTCTATAAGTCTTGTCGTATCTTATAACTTGTCGTAGTCCGAGCTGTATACACCTGATTTAGTATATGCAAAAGTCAACCAATTTTTTGGTTACTGTCTGCACAAGTCGAAGATCTATCTTTTAAGCGATATAGAAATAAGTCGCCTTCTAGGCATAAGTTGTATAATATTAGTTTTATGTTGTAATACGAAATCTATTATCAGTCTGAATAAATTATAATAGCTTACAGGTACTTTCAAAAAAACACTTATCAAAGGCTATGATTATTGAACTAAATTACTTTTTGTTAATTTTCTTGTTCTTTTGAATAACTGCTTGAGCCGGATAAACCTTGCTGTGTTATGCGGGTCACAAATTTTTTGAGCGTAACTTTCAAACATTATTAGAACTTACAGACATATTTGATTTAATACTAAATTTTACGAAATAAGGAAAGTATTACTGCATAATCTTAAAACTCTTACCATTAAAACGAAGAAACCTACAAAGTGTCATCATATCGGAACTTTTTACTTTTCGGAATATAAATGACTCAGTCACAGTTATACGACATGATAGATTATTGTGATAAGTGTTCTCCAAAATTTATATAAGGCACACCAACAACCAATTAATTGGTTTACTTATAAACAAAAGATAAGCTTTGACAAGCTTATATGATTTTGTCGTAGTCAAAGCTATACGTACTACATTTAGTGTATGCAAAACTCTGGTAATATTCCTTTTACTTTCTGCTCATGTCACAATTTCATGTTGTTAGCCATGTATAAACGATTCTCTTTGTAGGATTAGGTAAAAATGATTTTTTTTTTTTTTAATGTATATAATTTACAATCTTTCAGAAATGATTGAAGTAGCTGTTAGGTTTGTTAAAAAAAAATTCACTTATTGGAAGTCAGTGCTAATAATTAGCCGATTTTACATTCACTAATAGTCTTGTTGCTTTTATATATCCTTTAGTAGTGGATCATCTGTACATCGTTATAGAAGTCACTAATAAGTATAGCAAAATAATAGAATGACATAGTAACTTATAAAAGTACTTTTTTTATCATTTACTCTCACGAAATGAGAAAAATATTAGTTGACGATTATATTACTATTACCTTTAAAATGGACAGGCCAACAAAGTGTAAGCAGAGCGGGAGTATTTAGTTTTTAAAAATTAAAAGCACGTACACTAAAACACAAATGATTAATTATGTTATTAAAAAAAATTAAGCTTTCATGAGCTAGAATGATCTAATTGTAGTCTGAACTATACGTTTTATATTTAGTGTATGCAAAAAACAGTTAATTCTTCCTATTACGTTTGCACAAGTCATAGTTTCATCTTGTAACAAATACATAAATAAATGGATTTCAAGGCTTAAGTGAAACAAAACTACTTTTTTTGTTGATATACGAAATC